AATTCCTAAAACTGCAGATACCTCAAAAATCCTTGGATAAATTAGCATATTTAGAAAGGTACCTGAGAGTTGAGTATTAGTATATTCAGAAAGGTACCTGAGAGTTGAGTATTAGTATATTCAGAAAGGTACCTGAGAGTTGAGTATTAGTATATTCAGAAAGGTACCTGAGAGTTGAGTATTAGTATATTCAGAAAGGTACCTGAGAGTTGAGTATTAGTATATTCAGAAAGGTACCTGAGAGTTGAGAATTAGTATATTCAGAAAGGTACCTGAGAGTTGAGTATTAGTATATTCAGAAAGGTACCTGAGAGTTGAGTATTAGTATATTCAGAAAGGTACCTGAGAGTTGAGTATTAGTATATTCAGAAAGGTACCTGAGAGTTGAGTATTAGTATATTCAGAAAGGTACCTGAGAGTTGAGTATTAGTATATTCAGAAAGGTACCTGAGAGTTGAGTATTAGTATATTCAGAAAGGTACCTGAGAGTTGAGTATTAGTATATTCAGAAAGGTACCTGAGAGTTGAGTATTAGTATATTCAGAAAGGTACCTGAGAGTTGAGTATTAGTATATTCAGAAAGGTACCTGAGAGTTGAGTATTAGTATATTCAGAAAGGTACCTGAGAGTTGAGTATTAGTATATTCAGAAAGGTACCTGAGAGTTGAGTATTAGTATATTCAGAAAGGTACCTGAGAGTTGAGTATTTAGTATATTCAGAAAGGTACCTGAGAGTTGAGTATTAGTATATTCAGAAAGGTACCTGAGAGTTGAGTATTAGTATATTCAGAAAGGTACCTGAGAGTTGAGTATTTAGTATATTCAGAAAGGTACCTGAGAGTTGAGTATTAGTATATTCAGAAAGGTACCTGAGAGTTGAGTATTAGTATATTCAGAAAAGGAACTGGCCACTGAATATTACATCACCTGAGAAATATTCGTGACAACCGAGGAGTAAATCCTGTCAAAAGCATACCAAGTATTTCCTCACCAAAGGGTTTCTAACAAAATGCAAACTCAATTTACTTGGCAAACTGTGTTAAAAATTTCAAAAAACAATACAGACCGATCCTGATGTGTAGTATAGGGGAGGAGATTTCTGGGAGAAAGCTGTAGCACCGGTTACTTACAGTGAGGTCTACTACACGAAATCAAGACTTGTTCCGAGTCAAACATTCATGTGTGGAACAGGACATAGGTCTAGTACTGTTAAATCTTCTCTCCAATCCACAGCCATTGAATAGTCAATCTAGCCAATTCTACATGTATTTCAGACAGTAATCACTTCAAATTTTCATGAAATTAATGATCGAATTTGACAAAGGTTTTCAATACTGTGACCTTGCTACTGTAACTATAGAGCTTTGATGGACTGTCCTTAATTTGTTAGATTAAAGGACAATACCCTGTGAATGCCACGTAATTATTGAACCTGATTCTGAAGTCTGGGAAGATAAATGCTGAACGTGCTATTGATTGAGTTTATATAGAGCGTGGATTCCTGAGCTGTAATCATCAAGTGACTGACATTCTTATATAATACCTATACACTGAACAGCATCCCCTAATCATTATGTACACCAACCTGCTTCACCAGAAATACCTGCTCTGTACAGCCCAATGTAAAAGTAGAAGCAACAACACCTAGCTGCTTGTTTATTGTCTAACCACACATAAGATACTGCTGATGGAGGTATTGGTATGAGTAAATATTTAACTTAAGTTGTATATACGGTTTATTGAATCCTTAAATTCATGATCTTTCTGGTGAAATTCCAATAATACAGTGTTTTTTATAAACCTATGATTACCTTTCTTTCATTCAAACTTCCAGGCACTCCATTCCAAATTTATGTTCAAAAATCCCATTTATAACGAATCCTCAGGCATGTTGTGGGTTTAAATAAAAACATCTTGATTAAATAATTTGATAACTTGATTCTCCTTGATTGATATATCCTGTCCAAAGATAATTTTATGATTTAATTTCATGGAAGAGAAATTGTGAATTCTATTAGATTAAAGACGTTGTGCCAAGCCATGTTCTGTTTGTCTTATCAATAGCGGCATTGTCTATCTTCACTACAGCCAACACAATAAAGATACAGTTAGGTGCTCATTTTGTATTCTCTGCCAGTTATATAATTACATTTTCATTTAATATGAATTTACGTTCCAAACACATTAAAAACAAATTGGGGTTGAATACTGAGGCATCTACATGCCCCACCTGTACGATAAGTCAAATTAGGTATCTCAGATACTATCCAAGCTTTTCAAAGTTAATATCATTGCCTTTTGTTTGAGTTAATTCAGTATGATAACCTACAAGTCCTTCATATTAAAGTTTTTCAATGAAAAGCCTAGTACACATACTTAAGAATCACCACTTAAAAGATTGGGGAGTCTCAAACAAAGCCAAGTGTGTTTTGGTATCCATAGAAACGGAATGTAGAGGTAACCAGTATAATGAGACAAATGGGGTAGATATTTGACCAATAAAGAAGTTCTGGTTTTTTCTATAATTACATTATCCTAATCAACCTGGAAAAACAGGAAAAAGTGGCACAATTATTAAAATGTATATAAAAACATTATGTTACATCCACACACCTGTAAGTTGTGATCAAAACCACCTGATATTACAGTATGTGATCTGTGCGTCAAAATAAAATCATTCTTAATTCAAAGCTAGAAGGCATGCTTTAGCCATGTTTGATAAACAGGAAATCTAGTTATTCCATATTAACATTTAGCCTTTCCATAGCATTACATATTGTAAACTTGGTACCTGAAAGTCATACCAGAAAATAAAACAGGGTCCTGGAAACTAAGGGAGATAACTTGCTGAAAGGTATTACAACTAAATTAAAAACTTGGCACTTACATTTACATTTAATGTTTGGGGTATATTTTACAAACTAAATATCCAATTAAGATGAAATTACACTTTTATCAAAGCAATTTTCATGTCCCATTTTCGCATTTAATTTTCTATAATTGAAAAAATGTAATTTCTTAATGCTTGCTGTTTTAAAATGAGATTTGAGTACAACACTGGATTTATATGTAAAGGTATGTGAACTTATCTGTATTTACTCCTGAGTTAGAAATATTTATGTTGAAAAATGGAGAAGCACTTGACTAAAGTTTGGACTAGAAGTTTTACCTTCCTGTTCAGTAGTACCAATTATTGTAAACATAAACTTCTATATACCTCAAAGGCATTCTATTGCAGGCCAAATGAATGGAAAGTTACCAGGAGCAATTTGATTATCCTGAAATTAAGTAAGCTACTGAAGAAATGAAACGTTAGCCCAAACTACACTTATAAATGCTTTTGGGAGTAAAAGACTTGATCTTAGTGTATATAGCATTACACACTGACTACTTCACTGACAATTAACATCGACCTCATTTTGTGAGAAAAAATTATTTCCAATAAATTCTCCAGGCACACAAAGACTTTGTAGGGAAATAAAAGTGGCCTTTATTCTTTTTCAAATATCACCTTCTACTTAAACAATTTGTTATTCAAAGTGGAATTATTTTAAGAAACTTGAAATGCCATTTAAAAGAATTAGTTGTGAAAAGCCAATATGAAAGACATGTTGAGAGACCAGAAGACTTTTAAGCATATATTCAATTCAGTGTAGGCTTACAGCTATCGTGAGCTATAATTTCATTAAAATATCAACTCATCTCAAATTTTGCAGAAAATTTCTCACAGAAGACACATGAAAGATTGGGAGTTTAGTGGAATGGTTTACCATCAGGTCTCTATCAACAGCATCTAGACAAGTCACCTTGCATCCCCATTCTGATGGATGTGCATGTTGAAAATTTAATTTTATATATGACATATCAAGAAATAGTTTAACTTAAGCAGAAGGGCTAAAGCACTTCACATGATGTTTGATAAATTGGATGTCCTGGAGTTAGATAATCATGACCTTCCTCTTACGCCAGAAGTACCCAGCACAGAGACCTGTATCCCTCCCCCCACGCCCCCTACCCATGATGCCACTTCCTTAACTACAACCATCTCCGACTGGAGCCCTCAGTCTTATCCCTGTTATCTTTGTTTCCTGGGATTTTCAGCAGATACAGTCTTATGAACCTGTTTACGTAATCTATCAAGGTAAATCACTTCAAATTTTGTCATAAATAAACGGTTTCCTGGTGGTCGGTGATATAAATGTTGAGGGTATATCTAATTTTAGCAGAGGCAGATTTGCTTTTTTTTTAAGACGACCTGAAGATTCTGTGTCCATCTGCTGACAGATTTCCCTGTGTTTTGTGGCATCTGAAAGTCAGCATCTGCTAACGTACCTATGTTTACAATCAGCAGCAGGCGGAGTCTTATTTAAATGACAGGGAAGGTGTGAAGCAGACTCGACAGACCAGTTTTTTTTTTATTTGTGATTGAAGAAATATGGGATTGATAAGATTTAGTCTCTAGATTGAAACAAGCAGATACATGTTTCAATTTTGTAGGAAATTTTTTGCCTCAATATTAAAAGAGTTGAGTGAGCCTATCCTATATCATCCATCAACCTCATATCTATGACATGCAACTTTGATTCCTAACTTTGCTGAAAATTTCAATCTGCAAAAGTACACATATTTAAAGAGTGCAATCTCCTAGAAATTGCAGACTTAGCAGATTGGAACACTTTATATATTGACTTAGAAAGAACCAAGTAATCCACAACTGGAACATGTTGATTAATTTTCAGGGTCAGGTGTTGAGAATGTCCCATTGTGTCTCAAATTGAACTCAATGCAGCTGGAACTAGGTGGAATCAAATTGCAGCTCAAGTTATCAATTTTAATATTTGGTTCACATTATTGTCAATAAAATGGAATGCATTTACTAAACTAATTAAATGCCTTTTTTCATTTCATCTACATAATTTGATACTTTTTTTTAATAGTTTTCATTCGATTTGTGCAACCAAATGCATTTGTGGTCAGTTTTATGAAATAAGAAAACAAACCTGGATTTTCTGGATCATTCTGTGTGATGACCACATCCCTTGGTGGAGCAAATCTGGATGCTGCTGACAGGAAAGATCCTTGCTTTCTCTTGGCATTCTCTGTTCTGGGTTTGATTCGATCTCTCTTAATCTGAGATTTCTCATAAGCGTTTTGCACCTCATATGATCCAGGGGGAGGTAACTCCTGTTAAACAAACATGAAAACTGCATGTTTTCTGAGACAAGACACAAAAGTGATAACATACATTTAAAAATTGTTTTGAATTTCAACTTAACAATTCTTAAGTAACAAAGAAACTTATATTCAAACAAAACAATTTTGCTGGTTCATCTGTTTGTATATGTGATGGGGAAATTGTTTAAATGACATAACAAATTACATTTCATGATCAATAAGAAAAAATCTGTCTATCATTTTGCAGTCTAAAAGCTTATCTTTTTCTGCATATTCTACAGCTATATAAAAAAGAAAATTCAAGCATTGAATATATTTCTGGTTTTGACTTTCTTATTATTCCTAATGTACAAACACTGATTTTTTCCATTAGTGTGGCTAGTGAGTTCAGAACTGATTTCAACTTTGAAACACTTGTATTTTTCATTATAAACACTTTTTCTAAACTTCTTCTCTCTAATTGGCAAAAATACTGAACATCATATTTCACATTATATACAGCAGCAAGTTAGATTTTCATACTAGCTATAATTCAATTGAAGTATACAGTATCCAGAAGTGCAAGATTGAGACTTCATGATAAGTGTGTCTGCACATGGCTGGTGCACTCTAATGAGACCGTGCATATCTGTGTTACTGGTGACTGCGCTTGGATTGGCTCCGTCGCCAGCTTACATCAACAGACAGACTCTATACTGAGAAAAATGTGATATTCACATGTGTAGCCTTAAACTCTGCCTGGAATGACATCATAATGCACCTTTATACTTGAACTTTATACAATTTTCTTTCCTTTATTCGAAATGGTTATGATTTTTAAAACATTAAAATCAAAAATCTTTATTTTAAGTTTCTTAAAACTTTCATTATCATGTGTTTCCTTGAGGGATGATAATGTGTACGAGACAAACACCAATAAAACATAAAGTTTGACATATCATGATGAATGGATGGAAACTACCTTAAATACACAGAACAAAAGAACAAGCTGTATAATTCTTTATAGCAGAAAATCAAAAGACAGCACGTGACATAAAAAGCCAGTCTGAACATGGAAACAGTCATTAATGCTATGACACCAGTTCAACATCAGGACAGTTATTGGATTGGGGCTTACATATACTTCATGTAGGCTGGAAAAAACAAGGAACACCGTACAGGTGAGGACAGTAATAATTCCATCTTTGGCCTGTACAGGATGTAAGAAACTTGGATTAAATGAGTTAACTTTATAGAGAGATAGGTCTAATGATACAATGTCCCTCAATCAGGAAACATAGCCACAGATCAGGACACTGTCCCTCCATCAGGAAACATAGCCACAGATCTGGACACTGTCCCTCAATCAGGAAACACAGCCACAGATCTGGACACTGTCCCTCCATCAGGAAACATAGCCACAGATCTGGACACTGTCCCTCAATCAGGAAACACAGCCACAGATCAGGACATTGTCCCTCAATCAGGAAAGATGGTCACAGATCAGGACATTGTCCCTCCATCAGGAAACATAGCCACAGATCAGGACATTGTCCCTCAATCAGGAAACATAGCCACAGATCAGGACACTGTCCCTCAATCAGGAAACATAGCCACAGATCAGGACATTGTCCTTCATCCAGGAAAGATGGTCACAGATCTGGACACTGTCCCTTAATTAGGAAACATAGCCACAGATCAGGACACTGTCCTTCAATCAGAAAAGATGGTCACAGATCTGGACACTGTCCCTTAATTAGGAAACATAGCCACAGATCAGGACACTGTCCCTCAATCAGGAAACATAGCCACAGATCAGGACATTGTCCTTCATCCAGGAAAGATGGTCACAGATCTGGACACTGTCCCTTAATTAGGAAACATAGCCACAGATCAGGACACTGTCCTTCAATCAGAAAAGATGGTCACAGATCTGGACACTGTCCCTTAATTAGGAAACATAGCCACAGATCAGGACACTGTCCCTCAAGCAGGAAACATAGCCACAGATCAGGACACTGTCCTTCATCCAGGAAAGATGGTCACAGATCTGGACACTGTCCTTTAATCGGGAAAGATGGTCTCACATTAGGAAGGACACTGTCCTTTAATCGAGAAATATGGTCTCACATTAGGAAGGACACTGTCCCTCAATCAGAAAACATGTTCACAGATCTGGACACTGTCCCTTAATTAGGAAACATAGCCACAGATCAGGACACTGTCCCTCAATCAGGAAACATAGCCACAGATCAGGACATTGTCCTTCATCCAGGAAAGATGGTCACAGATCTGGACACTGTCCCTTAATTAGGAAACATAGCCACAGATCAGGACATTGTCCTTCATTCAGGAAAGATGGTCACAGATCTGGACACTGTCCCTTAATTAGGAAACATAGCCACAGATCAGGACACTGTCCCTCAATCAGGAAACATAGCCACAGATCAGGACATTGTCCTTCATCCAGGAAAGATGGTCACAGATCTGGACACTGTCCTTCAATCAGAAAAGATGGTCACAGATCTGGACACTGTCCCTTAATTAGGAAACATAGCCACAGATCAGGACACTGTCCCTCAATCAGGAAACATAGCCACAGATCAGGACACTGTCCTTCATCCAGGAAAGATGGTCACAGATCTGGACACTGTCCTTTAATCGGGAAAGATGGTCTCACATTAGGAAGGACACTGTCCTTTAATCGAGAAATATGGTCTCACATTAGGAAGGACACTGTCCCTCAATCAGAAAACATGTTCACAGATCAGGATACAGTCCTGAATCAGGAATATAAGGTTGCAGATCAGGCACACTGAACCAGGATATCCTGTCTGTAGTCATGAGACATTGTTCTTCTGACATAGAATATGGTAGCCATGATGTAAGAAACCAATAAATATCCATCTTTGACCATTACACATGCCACAACAATGTTTGCCCAACATTAGGTCTACACATAGCTTCCCATTTTACCAGGATGTCATAAAGACATGCATACTACAGAGCAATTAACGCCACAAACAACAGATACAAAATATCAAAACATGAAATATTATCATAAAATGGATTTAAACACTGTTAAGCTCCTGACTTAACATGTGTAAATTGCGAACTGACACACCAGCCTGGATGTTACTAACAATTCTAATTAATAAATGCCTACATGTGCATTTCAAAAGTACATTATGACACAACAAATTATGTCACTAATTTAAATGGTTAGATTCATCTTTGGAGACATGCTCACACCTTGCTGATGAAAAAAGCCTGTTTTCTACTTTGAGGAGTTGACAATATTACAGGTAGCTGTCATTGTAGTCTGACTTAAGATATTTAATAAGCAACAGAGTGCTGTAATCAGGGACCAAGTGTACACCTGGCAGTGTTTACAATGTGCTACATGATTATTCTGCAGATAATTTATTCAAGAATTTAATTAATTTTCTAGAGATTTTATGTAATCTGAAAATTGTTATTAAGAATTATTCATATAAAGACAAATGATTAAAAACAGACCCAAAGTCACGAGATTTAATACATAAGCAAGCATGAAACATGATTTTTACCAACATTAAAAATCTGACTATTTCCTTGCTTTGATGACTGTATGCACTTTTTGTGTTATAAAGAAAATTAACTGATCAGGCAGAAAATATTCAGAATTACACAACAAATTTGATTTTTATATAGAGTATTAGAATGGGGACCATTATAAGCCCCAAAAAGTCCAGTGGAAAAGTCTTCGGTTTGGAGTTTTTGAGGTATTATCTATGCTCAGACCAGCTACAAGCCCTAAGTATTTGTATTGAATCACTCAATTAAATTCTTGTACTAGCTTATCTCCCCCTAGTTTGAGACTTTTAATTACACATTTCCCACTGAACAAAATTACAAACGCTCAATCTTATGATTCTGATATTCTAGAGAAAATCGAATTGTTACCATGTTGGTGTGATTACAGAAATACACATCTTACACAGTACACAAGATGAAATATCATAAGTCATCATGATTTAGGAAAATAATGCTAGGTCAACTACAAATTAATATTTCTGTCAAACAATGGCAGATTATTGTTTCAGATGGTCTGGTCTGGTGCACCATATGTCTGATCATTTCTGTAGACTTAATTATACTCCTGGACAGTGTAAAACTTCACAGTGGATAGCCAGAAATAAAACTAGCCATTAATGAAGGTCACACATTTTTTTGGCATTGACACATGTAATTTGTACCCAGACCCATCATAATGTCTATCACTTCCACAGCAGGGAGCTGGACAGTGCCTCTATAAACACCCCTGGATTGCCACACTAATTTGTCATGGTCAAGTTGACCTTATGACCTATTTATGACAAATGAAACATCACTTCAAACGAAAAAGTTATGACCTCAGATGTGGAAAAATAACATCATAACTGGTGGGTAGCAGATGCTCTCTGGTGCTGATGCTGGAACATCACTGTGTGGGATCCTATATCACCAAATGTTGCTATTTAATGGTGATAAACACTGCATGGGATTGTTACTGTTCACTATACCGATAATCCTCCACCATCTATCTATGCTGACTCTGTAGAATTGTTTACAATCAAACATACATTCATAATCATGGTGGGATATTTCATTTAAAAACTGATAAACAAAAGTGAAGGGTAGCCAATTTTAATGTCTAAGACAGATGGTTGACCAATCTCATTTTGGTGTGTATCCCTATGACTAAATGGCAAGAGAAATTATCCAGGATCAATTTACTAGATGTTTACAGATGTACACTATATTCATTCTCTACTGGTTGTAGGTAGAATATAAATATATTTATGAATGTTCAGAAAAACAAAACAAACATGCCTAATGGCCCAGATAAGCTAAGTTTCATATATACTACGGTATGTATTGGCAAAAACAAAAAAGCCTGATGACCCAGATTGGTTAAGTTTCATTTAAATAGTGTATTGGCCAAGTATACTCTTAAGTACAGTGTGTAATAGCTAAGTATGCTATATAACACAGTGTGTAATAGCTAA